GACTGTAATCCATCCTATGGCAAAAGAACCGCTATGAAGAACTCAGTAGAACAGCACTGGATCCTTATTTTAAAGGTTCTTCTGCACCATTGTGTCCTAAACTTCAGTGTTCAAAAGGGTTTATTTCTTCAAACCTTTACAGGAGAAGCTAATGTTGCGTTCTCTCAAAGAGGTTGAGGATGGCCGGGGATCCTCATGATTAAACTCAAAGTTGCAGTACGTCATGCTAAGCCCCTGTAAGCACCCTGATCCAATTTACAGAAGATGAGCCTGATCGTAAGCTGCTGCCAGGGGCCATAATTGGTTTGAGTGTTCATGTGGTCATGGTTGCCTTGATCAAACACATCAGGAGCAGCACAAGTTTCAGCAGATGGTTGACAAAGGTAATGGACATGACAGTAGGGCTAATGATAAAGCCTAATCATTCATAGGTATGGGGTCCACAAGCTCAACACAAACCAGATGTCTTCACAATGAATCAAAAACACTGAGTTAATAAAGCCCCACTATGACTGTACTTTGGACGTAATTGCTTAATAAATCAAGACCAAACTGTGACAAACTGGACAAATTAAAATGTTGCTTAAACATTATTAAACATGAAAATTCAGTGTTTGCAGCAAACTTTGTCTGGCAAGCTGATAAAAAAATATTCTATTGCTTTCATTGATGTTCTTGTTGTCATTTGCAATCTTGGCAGTTAGAACCAACACAGTGTCTGGCACATACACGAGCCAGATACTTATGCTGATCAAAGCCAGGCCTTTCCCTGAACGGTCTATTCTTCTTTCTCCTTGTGGCTGGATGTGAGAGCTGCAGTGTTGCTAAATGTTTACCAAATGCAATTGGAATACTGAACGCCCAATCTCCTTATGATCTTTTCACAATGTCTTTCATCAAACCTTTGTGCATGTTTAGCGCTGTCTCACTAACAATATTTACGTGTTATAATCATAAATTTGCAGTTGTCATAGACATGAATGTCATGCTAACACCAGGTATTCAATGATTTATTTAAACTGTTGGCCAAATGAATATTTCACAGCACTTCTGGTTTATTCAGTAGTGTCTTATACTGCCTATGACCTGAGTGAACAACTATATTTTTAGGAAGCAGCTGCCAAAAGCTCTTTCTTCTCTACCTCATGCAGTAACCCTTGATAATGTGACACGTGTTTAGCAGAAAATACTCTTTATTGCGCCTTATTTCAAAGCTGGACTGTCCACTACATTTTATATTATCAGATATTTGCTGTGATTGTTTTAACTACATTTATTAAGCCATTTTATTTTATTTGCTTTATTAAATTTTAGGAGCCATTTAACTCTATATTGCTGATTTATTGTATTATCTTCCGTTTTTCCATAGCATTCTATTTTGTTTCTATTTTGATTTTTAAATGGCTTAGACTGCATTTTAAATAAAATAAAAACACAGAGATATTTTCTTTTCTTACTATTTTCCCCCTCCTCCTTTATTTTGTGTAACTTGCATTACCTTTGTGTGCAGGAATTTTAAAAGGCAGAGTCGGTATAAAAACAATGCCTGAACTATAACAGACTTAAAAATAAAAGACCTCAGACTTGGTGTCTTAATATTTTTGTGTAATAACAATTTACTTTCCGTTCCCTCTGCAAGAAAACCCATATAATCTCTCAAAAGATGCACATTTTACATTAACTGTAAACACTACTCCCATTTTTTTTTCACAAATTTCAATGCAAAAATTGTTCAATATAAAAATGGTCAAATTAATTATACCTGAACTTTATGGTCATCAGAAAACACATTTTGAGAGCACATGAAAGCTCGAGTTTCTTCAGTGTTGGTCAAGTCTTACTGAAACTTTATCAGTAACTTAGCAAGAAGGGTATTTTCAACAGGGTGCTCTACTTTGTTCTTGGGTCAGTGACTAACACATGTCCACAAACTTGTTTTTTAACTGCATATTACCTGTTCTTCAGTGCAGTATTTTTTTTCCTCTGCATGGGAATACCTATTGAGTTCTCTGAAATATGGCTGGTGAGGTTTTCAAAGACATCCAAAATTGGATCAGACTTAACCAGTTTGATTTCCTGCATTGCCCAAGTAGTGAAAACATCCCTCGTGGTATGGATGATGAAATTCCACAGCTAAATGCAGACCATAGATAACGATTGAGTATGTTTTGGCCCCTTTATACTCCTAGATCTTACTCTTCCTCCCCTTATATACCATTTTTTATTTTGCAAAATGTTCTGAGTTAATCCCAAAGAGGTACACATGCAGTATGAATTTCTGAATACTTCTTCTGTTTATACACCTCTTTATAAATGTGGTGAATAGACTCAAAACTTCATATAAGCTGTAAAAATCTGATAGCTATTGAATTGGAATAATCACATGAAACTGAAAATCTTCATGTTTTGGTCTGTTAGGTAAAACAAGTGATTCTGAAAAGCTCAGCCTGTCCCAATACCAAACTACTTGAAATCTGCCTTTGACCTTAGACTCCTAAGAATTAGACTTATTTTGGGAAAAAAAAAAAAAAAAAAAAAAAGAACAGAAACACTGTAACAGCCCAAATTAAGTGAATTTTTATTTAAATATATTAGTGAAGATTATATCCAATAAATAAAATGGACATTAAATGTGCATTCTGGCCACAAGCAGTTCATGTAAAATTTCTACTGTCATTTGTTTTAGTGCATTAGGTCATTAGAAGTCCCATTCTAGGAGTCCCAGTTGGCTTTTCTGTCTGCTTCTGGAATAACAGTCCAGTTTGGGGAAGGTGTCCCAGCAGCAAGCCAGTTGAAGTCATCCACCTGAGTCCAGTTGTTTCGGGCCCGGTCCAGCCCAGACACAGTGAAGTCCTCTTCCAGAGTGGGATAGGACCATGTGAACGGGGCAAAGCTCACTCCGTGACAGTCCTCTATGATGGCTCGGCTGGTGACCTGCAGATACACTTGTGTGTCGGTTGTGTTGTGGGTCCGCAGCTGCTGACAGGGAAAGGCCAGCACGCTGTTTCTGCAATTATCTACAAAAACTGAACTGGACACCGGCCCGCACAGGATCTCACAGCCGTCGATGTGTTTCAGGTGCAGCGTGCTCGGGGAGCCGAACAGATGGACTTTGCAGTTGGTCAGGTGAGTGAGAAGCACATCTCGTTTTTGGATCTCTTCAGCCGTCTTGGTCAGAAACTCACTGGTCATGTTGGAGAAGCCGCACTGCTCGGCGGGTGCTGCTCCATCCACCTGGGTCCTACCTGTCTCTGCAGGTGTGCCTTCATCACGGGGAAGGGGATGAGCATCTTGTGCAGCGGCTTGATCTGTTGCCTTGGTGCGAGTTCGAAAGGCAAACTTCTTCCTGGGCAACGCCTCCTCTTTGGTCTCAGACAGCGAGGTTTGGAGTTTCTGGAGAGCAGCCTGGGCTTGCCTGAGCTCGTACTGCGTTAGAAACTGCATACTGTCATTCAGAAACTTTTGCAGCTGGAGAGTTTTGGTCGTGGCCTCCTCTAGTTTCTCAGTCACCACAGCGCGCTCAGCTCCGGAACAGCTGGACAGTAGCTCCTCTATACACGCCCGCTCCCTGTTGAAGGCGCTGGAGAAATACTCGCTCTTCTCCTCGGCGACAGAATGGCTCTCTTTAGCCTCCTTCCTCCGCTCGGCATCCTCAATCCTCGCCTGGTGCCGCTTCTGAAGTCGCTCTTGTATCCTGGCCGCCCCACTTTCGCCAGAAAACCCATTTTCCTCGTTACCTTCAATCACCGCTGCCATATTATCGCACTGCTAGTTGTGTCGGAAGTGATGACGCTCTTCTTCGTGACTTTCGCAAAGCCAACATAAACACTGTGGCACACCGCCACCTGCTGCATCGGAGTATTTAAGCTAATTTTAAAAACTGAGCTATATATATATATATATATGTATATATATTTTTTCTTTTTTCTTTTTTAAAGATGAAATAAAACCTGCAATTTAACCACAAAATTATATAATTTCTTCTAAATTTGGTCTCTTTATAAGCTTCGACAGACTTCTTTGCCTTTTGAACAAAATGAAACAAAATATTTGAAGCCAAGCTGTGAGCTTATTTTAGCCTCTGTGTAATAGAATATAGTATTATATTAATACGTATGTGTATTATTAATAAAACGCATTTAATGATACTGCTCGACCAAAATGTTTCTTTCATCATTTTAAAGTAAAACAAAATAAAGAACAGTAAATACTTGAACATTTGCATTATTTATTTAATTTCTTTTTATATTTCCATTCGTTTTATATTTATATATTTCAATGAAATATTTATATATTTCAAAGAACCTTTTAATTTTTTTTTTTCATACCACCTTCATTTTATCTACCCTGCTCCCTACAGTTTACCCATATTTATAGTGTGGTTTTTGTGAAACACATTACAGATATAGACACCAAATAAATTTAAATAGCATGCCATTTACTCATCTATCGTTTACTGTAAGGTCCCAGCCCCCTGGTTGTGCAGATTGAATGAATCAAAAGTAATAATATTTTCTTTAACGTTTTTATAATAAAGACATCACATACAACACTAGAAGGTGGAAGAAATATTATTTTTACTCGAAAGTGTGTGTAAAATGCGACTGAGTTACATATAAAAAAAAAAACAATAAGTGTAATAAATGTAAACGCTTTGCTTTCTTATAAAGTCTGACTGCTTTCTGAATACGAATAGGCTTCTCAGCAGGTAACTAGGCATACCTGAGCAACATCCAGGTGTGGCATACACAAAGGCCCGCCCTCTACCGTTGGCAGTGATTAAGTGTAATAACGTTTATCCGCTATTTATAAAGACAGAGCCACATGTAATTATAATTCACATAAGCATTAAAAATAGTTTATTAATTATTTGCGGTTGTTTTTAAGGTTTCGTATTCAAATGCATGGAGCCATATGCAGTCGTTGAGGACCGCTGATTTTGCTGTGTGCACTACCCCAACAACAACCCGTGCGGTGATGGCGAGGAAACCCCGTTGACAAGGCACTGCTTTTTCATGACGGTGAGTTTCCCTTTGAGTGTATTATAATTTTGTGATAAAAATTTCAAGGAAAAAACACACACAACCTCCTTCCTCCCTTCCTTCAGGGAGGGAAGAGAGTTTGAGCGGAGAGAAAAATCTATCCGAGACAGAGCAGGGACAGTGAGAAAAATATATGAGTGGGAGAGGGAGAAGGAGGAGGAGGAGAAGGAGGGGGGAGCAAATTAAAAGTTGCCAAATGGAGATATTGGGTTTCAAGAAGGAGTGAGACAGGAGTAAAAGGGTTTGCCTCTTTTTGAGTCGTCTTTATGTTATGCTAATCGGGATAAATATTTATGGCTCGACGCGGTTTTAGCCCTTTTCGACGGATTCTGGCTTTCAAAATAGGCGTCGTCATCGACGCCGCGGCTAGCTAACCAGCGCAGGCCGATATTTAAAGTTAAAAATGTGGCGGAGCCGCTGAGTTAAAGACCCGAGCAGGACACGGACTGGGGACAAACGTCCCGGGTTGAAACGCGTCGATTCGGCTATATCGAGGCAAAAATGTGACGTTTTTCATGCTGGCAGACGAGCCACATAGAGGACAAATGAAAGCCTTCCCCAACAGAGAAAGAAAGAGCACGTCAGCGACGACGGGCGTTTTGTGCTGCTTGAATGCGATTATCACTCTCTGTCGATTCAGTCTATTTTTGGAAATAAAACTTGCAAGCTGTACATTAGCCGTGTTTTTGTGCGGCTTTAACGGCGGGGACTAGCCGTGGATTTGCGTCGAAGAGCACGTGCTGTGCTGGATTTCGGTGGTTGTGAATTTGAGCTCAAAATTAGGCAAAAAATGCAACAAGAAATACGGATTTGTTTGATCAAAACTGGCATTAAAGATACAAATCTGGCGATATCGAGCTAGATCACATTTTTTAAAGGTCATTATTCTGGCCAGCATAAACAGCTCGGTCATTTAATTTTTAATGTAGCTAACATTACAATTTGAGGTGATCGCTTGTAAACGTTAACTTTTTGCACGTTGGATTTAACTGGATAATATAGATTTTTACAGCCCGTATTTGATGCCTTTTTGTGAATTGTTTATGGCTTAGTTTCCGTTGTTTTTGTCTCGGAACCTCGACATGGTTTTCTGTAACATTTCAAGTTTCGAAGGATGAAGGACACTCGTTTGCTCGACGAGAAAATGTCGTGTTATTTGCTGTGGACACACACAAAAAACAACCGTGATTTTCCAGCGATTTAAATCGCGCAAACGGTCGTTCTTTTTGCTTTAAACTCCAAAACGGTCCGTTTAAACGGCCTAATTTGTGCAGCAGCCCTGTCCTGTCTTTGTTCTCGCTCAACCAAAGATGGAGGCTCAACGTGGCTCTGCTGTAAAGACAGCCTATGGCATGGTAACAGCCATTTTGTAGAGTTGCAGTTGCCTTTCATGGGAAAACAAAACCTACATTTCCCCAGTCACCTGCAAACACACACACGCACACACACAGCAAAATAAAATTGAATGTGATACAACCATTTTATTCACATGCTCTATTAGTGATTACATGAGGTTTTTATTATTATGTGATACAGTAAATAAAGCAGCCACAACCATTTACTTACAGATATTGAATCATTTAAGTGCCATTAAAAACAACAACCCCTAAACCCCCAATTATTAAGTAGCACCAAGCTGACTGACTGACACAACATAAAGCCAATACCTCTTTCAATGGAGAGATGAAACCCAGAACATGAGAACTATAATGTATAAATGTTGCAGGGTGGGGTTATTTACACTGAAATACTCTTTTTCACTCTGCACACTGGAAAGACAACCAATGTGGGACAGCAGAGAAGCTTTATGGGTGGGAGTTTGTCATAGCTAAGCATTTGTAGGAGGGGATGAAGGCCATTCTGTCCTTATGTACTGAATAGCAAATATGTACCCCCCCCTCCCAACTTCCTGTCCACACCCCTGTTTCACACTTGAACCATTCTTTTATCTAGCACCTGCCTGCCCTGTCTCACGCCCCTTATCTGACATACATGTCCAGTTATGTAGTTCTACTAAATGAAGTTTCTCACTCTGCAGCCCAGCCTTTTGCAGGAAAGAAAGGGTGTTAAATGACTGAGCCCATGCTTCCTGCTGGAAACCTGTGAGTGAAATGTCTAAAAACATGGCAGCCATTCAGAGCTCAAGCACTTCTACTTTAGAGTAAAACAAAAACAAGTTTTACTCCACTGTTCAGTGATTAGACCTTAGTGTGTCCCATGTCCTCATCTGATGGCCTTCCATACTCTTTCAGGTGTCATGGATGATGATGACGATCGCCGTCTTCTGGATATTTTAGGGTAAACGTTATAAGATTATAAAATCTGCACTAAGATTCGAGTTCTTCTTGCCACACCCCGGGCCATACAGTTTTATACTTGTGAATATATAGCTGCCTTTAAAATCAGTGCAACAACTATCTGCAAGATCTGTTTTTTTGGTTTTAAATCTTTCATTGAATAAGGGAAGTGAATATTTTAATGTCATGAGCACAAGACACATGTAGTAAAGCAAATGTCAGGGGACTTTAAAACCACAGATAGTGACACAAATAAAAAGAAACTGCTGAAGATGTTGCTTCTTTATCTTTTTCAGAGATGTAGATGCGTTGAATGACTATCTCCATGGCAGCAACAGCAAGTCTGTGAGTGACACTTGGAGAATTCAGTTTGTCTGAATGACTTCCTTAGAAATATTCCTTAAACACCAGAATTACCCAAGTCCATTCACTCACTTGTCTTTTGTTCCTGCAGATTGAGGAGGATGATGTAACAAACGCAGCTTATGGGTCTGATGGATCTCTCTTTGGTAATGACACCGTGAGTATACCTATGATTACCTTGATCTAAGCCAAACCACAAGGACATTTTGTTACAGTTCATCATTAGGAGTGGATGATAAAATGATAACGATAACTACCAGGGATAACTTTTCCTCAACAGAAATATGAGTAACGATTAATAAAAAGTACATCGAACTCATTCCGTCCATTTTCTTGACAGACAAGACAAAAGGACAATGACAATAGCTCTACACTGAACCAATCGTGGTTGGAGCAGAGTTAAAGCCATGTCAATTTAGGTCGTCACACACATACACAGCACTACAGAGCACTACGTACGTGTTCAAAACGTCAGCTACAGCATTACCAAACAAGAGCCCCCAGTGCACAGTGTCCAAGACTCTGTTAAAGGGAATTCGGTATTGTGGAGATATTCTTACCGTTTAAAGTCCGACAAAGACACAGAGCAGCATGTTTCGACAAAGGCAGGTAACATCATGAATCACTTTTAGATCTGAAGCAGTGCTATCCCAGCACAATGCACAGTTTATCTGCAATTACCTGAAAAATACAGTGCACACACAGTACGGGAGTTTGCAGTTCTAGACACATGTTTGCGTTATGACAGAAAATGAAGAGGGACAGTGATATCACAATGACAGTTAAAAATGTCAAATTTAGGCTGGTGATTAAAGGACCTGATCCTCATCACCAGTTTCCGGGCTGTGGACAAACAACACCTTTTCCCAGCTGCAGAGAGTGCAGAGAGACAGCTGAACAAGCGGTGTCATACTTCACTGCCACATCGGATTTGTGGTCAAATCGCGCATCTGACCCATATATAAGCTTCACTGTCCACTTCATTGGAGCGTACTGCACTGGCATTGCCTTTTAAAATGTCTTTATTTGTTGCCTTGGAGCATAAGCAGACCACAGCTGAGTGGATATGTCTGGTTTGTTTATGCTCTGTTAAATTGATCGTTTCTTGAATTTGCACTGAGGGTATGTATAGAATTATTTTTATTTTTTGGGGGGGGGGGGGGGGGGGGGGGTCTATTTATTTGTGGTGTTGATTCCCAACAATTTAAAACAGTTTGAATATATAGAAAATAATGAATACCATTTGGTTTATTGAGATTTTATTTTGTATTAATATCTGTTATTTGAACTAACCAAAGAATTTTCAGTTTGTGTTCTTCTGTAACACTAACAGATACTTCTTTATTAACTTTGAAATACAGTATTATATTAGTATTTTATATTCTATAATAGATGATCATGTTCAATTTTTGACAGAAAGCTAATAATATTTGACATAAAATTAGCCTGATATCTTAACTTGGGCATAAAAAGAAGCCTTTGACTTTGAAATCAGATATGCAGTTCACATGCAAATAGTTCTCCATTTTCTTCTCTCAATACTTCTTTCAGACTGGCTCCAACACTGGCCTCAAAGATGGTTCTTCTACAATGGGTGAATTTGGCGAGGATTCGACCGGGGCAGGCCTCCAACTCTCTAGCAGTCTCTCATTTATTGAGGATGAACTGGGGCCTGAAACCTCCCCTGGAGGGGTGGATCTCGGGGGAGAGGACCAGCCCTTTGACATCCTTCAGAAATCTCTCTTGGAAGCTGATATCACTGAGCAAACGCTGGCCCAGGAAGCTTTACTGGACTCGCAGCCTGCTCCCACTCTAGTGCAAGCTCCTGTTCCCTTCTCCTCCCCGCTGGTCTCGGGGAACTATGGAGGCGGGGTAGGTGTGGTGACGACTGCAACTGCTACGTTCTCTGCAGGCCAGTTTTTGCAAGGCATGCCGTCACTGCCTAATGGTTCTGCTCAGCCAATCCAGGTGTTGGGTCCTTTTGGTGCAGGTGGCGGAGTGATGACTTTGAGTAGCTTAGAAAGATCACCACAGATCGTGCTAAGGCCAGGTGTTTCTGTAGCTCCAGCAGGGACAACAACAGGGGGGCAGGTGTTTGCTCCCACCCAAGGCCAAGTTGGCTTACCTTTCAAAAACATCCCGCTTCAAAATATCATCATACAGAGAGGCCCAGGAGGGACCCAGACTGTTGTCAGACCAATCCAGCCTAAACCCCTCCAACCGGGGTCTCAGACTGTCTACAGCCTTGGTCTTCAGCCTACTCCCACCACCGTGACTAATGTAGTGAACACTAATACTGCTGCTCCTGCAGGACAGTACACACCTAATGGCTCCATTGTGGTACAACCACCCCTGGAGCAGCAACAAGCGTCTACACTGACAAATATATCAGCCGGACAGTTCTTGCTACCTAGCTCCTTGGCTCTCACTCCATCTAGCACCATCCACAATGGGCCCATCAACCCCAACTCAAATCCCCTAATTACCAGTCAAAACACAGTGCAGATTGTTGCAGCGCAGAACTTCAATGCACCAACAGCTGGTCCACTAATTTTGAATCAGGGAGTAGTAAGCGGGAATCAGGTTGGAGGAGGTGTAACTCAGATGTGGACGGGAGTTTCTTGTGCGAGCTCCACCTCCGTGCAGACACCATGCGCTCCTGGACGTCTGACTCTGGTTGGCCCGGCTACAACAGGGATCTGCAATCAGAGCCAAGCATCGGCTACTCCCGTGCAGCGCCTTCTAGTGACTCCATCCCAGAACTGTACTTCTCTGTCCCCTTTACCTGGTAATGTGACACAGCAACAAGACTACAGACAGGTATACAGATGGCAGCCTTTTTATTAATTTGCTCTCTCCTTATTTGTTCTCTCTCTGACATAACTTTTACTTGAAATTTTTCAGAATTCTTCATCACCTGCCCTCAAACAAGCACATGCCAGCAGCATCCACGGTAAAAGAGGCGCCAATGGCTTCAGTGTATAATACGTTTCAATATAAGCTGCAGAATTTCAGACTGATAAAGTTGCTTTGTTTGTGTGATCTCTTGTAGCAATCAAACCCATGGCACAGGATTCAATGCTAAACTCTGAGGTA